CCACCCCCCGGCCCCAAAAAACACAACTAATTGTTCAATGCCCAAAGTAATTTCAGAAGTAACTGCTATGCTGCAAGATGAAACATTACTTAAAAATGTATGAACTTCCCATCACTCCAGATTATATTTGCATCAGACACTACCAACAGTACTTAGCTGCCATTCCTATACACTGTCTGCAGGCATTACATCTCAAGCTTGCGTGAAAAAAGTCGCAGCTAATTTTTTGCTTGCTTATCTGACCCAGATTTTGCATCCCTTTTTGCAAGTACCTATAAATTGTAGTCATTCTGCATTTCTTAGGGAAACCGATTACCACTCTGAAGCAAATGAATTCAGTATCCATTTCAATATAGTTTATAGACTGGATATAATATTCACTATAATCGCACTAATGCACTTAAGAGTTTCTGAGACAGTCATGTGAGAAACAGGAATCAACTTAAACAGGTAGAAAACTGCAATGTGTTTCTGTGCAAATGGGCTGTCTCATTGACTGCCTCCGGGAAGTAGCAAAAAGTAATGGAAGAGGTGGCACCCTTGCCATTAACTCATTATCTAAACAATGCCCAGTTTGGTATGAAAGGGAACCAGGAGATGACAGTGTTGCGTAATAAAATATTTATACCACAGGAGAGCTTAGAGGCGTCAATTACGATGACATACAAAAAGCAGTCAAGGCTCTGAAGAGCTTACCATACTTATAAATAATAGAAAATGAATATAAAATAATGGGGGAGGAAGGATTTAAAAAACCGTAAGAATAATACGTATTTGTATGGACCAAAGTAACGTTTTATTAGAAGTCACTAATGACCTTCTCTTCAAACCCAATGCCTTTTTTTTTTTTTAAACTCTGTCCTAATTCTAATCAGTATAGATATGTTCTACCTCCCCTTTTCAGCATCAAATAGATACCGTATACTTGACTTCCGAAACTGGTACCAAGTTACTGGTAAAATGCAACTGAAACATTCCACAGCTTGCTGCATTCCACTGAAGGGCAATTCCTAGATGCACAACAAACACTAAAAACTTACTGGATAGCATTCTAATGCTCGAATGTGGTCCTAAGTTTGCACTGTACTTCATACTGACAAGAAAAGGGAAGGCCACCCTGCTGCATGCATGCTGCAAATGGCACAAGCAGCCTGTGCATGTGGCACACCAGGGACGGGTCAGGCAACACACTGGCAGATTGGGCAGGGGAAGGGGATCAGATTGGCACTTGGGGGCAGAGGGGCTAATTTGTGGCACGCCTACCAGAAAGGCTGGCCACCAGTATTCTGAAAACTCACTTTCTGTCAACAGTGTCAGGCTTTCATTACCATTAGGATGAGTTATGTAAAGAGAAAAATGTCCCTTGTTTCACCGCATCAAATCCATTTGGGAATGAACATGCATATTTGCAACAGACAAAGTTAACACTACAGTGTGTTTACCTGTTACTGACAGATGTTAATGAAGTTTTATACATTATGTTTGGGAGAATCCCAAGAGTAATCTTTGAGGTTCTTCGGTAATAAACATCTAGCACCACTTCTGGTGACATTGTAAACAAACATTTTATTAGACAGATCATACCTTTCTCAGACTTTTAGAAAAACAACAGTAGATTATGCTACTTCCAGATATGATTTCCTGTGACCTTAGTGAATAAACATGTGCACACAGCTATGGTACTGTTATTCCAGCACAGCAAAGCAACCCAAACTGTATTTGAGTGAATAGATGTTCTACTGTATTTTAGTTTGCACATTTTTTTTTTTAATTTTGATTGGATAGGAGCAGTGGTGTTCACCATTTCGGTCCTACTGGTCAGGATCAGGCCCCACGCTGCTCTGCATGCCCGATTTAGCACGTAGGTCCACAGCCCATAGGGCTCCCCATATAGCTGTGGAAAGGCCCATGGGTCAAATGACACAGCACCAGGGGCCAGACCTGGCCTACAGACTAGGGGTTGAGCTACCCTGAGACAGAGGACAAACATTAAAAAAGCATAAGAACACACACTTAATTTAATTAGCTAAGAAAAATCCATTGACAGGAAATTCTTACTACTACTTTCCTGATGGAAGTCAAGGAACTAAAAAAAGATCAACTAAAAAAAGAGCATCTTCTTACTCATAACAATGTCTGCTCCACATGTTTGAGTCACATGTGGCTACGAAATCAACAACAAAAAAAATATTAGAGCTACATGCCACAGGGCAAAGGCTATTTATGGGATACAGAACTGGATTCTACTTAGCCTTGCAACACAACTGTCAAAGTTCTGACTCTAAACTCTTTATTGCTGGCAATTATGTCATATGGGACAAGAACAAACCCAGCTTGGTTTTGTGATAACCAAGTGCCAGCGCTGCAGACTTGGAGATAAAGAGGGGTAACTTCCTTTTGTTACATTAAAAAAAAAGGCAAACTAAATCTAAAAGCCAAAAAGCATAAAATATGAAAGCTGTTAGTGACATTTATCACAGAGTCATTTCAGAGCTATAATTCTTAGGTTGAATAGCATCTAGCTACTGGGGCTAGATTGGAGTGTTCCTCAAAAGGTTCCTGAAGAACCAATACTTCCTTCATTGGCAAGGGTGGATCACACGCTTGGTGCCGCCTCACATTACTATGGCAAAGAAAGCATTGGAATGCTACATCCATTTGCTTAGTTTTGCTGGAGAAAATAACAGCCTCATTGAGGACTACATCTAATACATGCTCCCAGCAACAAGCAGAATCCTTAGTGATGAGTTACTTTCCAGCTGTAATATTAATGGGGGGGGGGACGCCTGTTTCCCCCTTAATTGGGAGAAAAAACACCCCTGGACAGAGAAAGAAAAGGAAAGACAAAAGCAGTTGTATGTCACTTACCACTACCCAAATCGACAAACAAGTCATCCTCTGTCATCTTAATCTCATCAATCATTTGGGCCACTAAATCAAAGGAAGTTTCTCCATACACCTCTGGGGAAAAGGGTTCATAGTTGTTGAGTTTCTCTGGGTCGGTCACCGAGTGGTTATATACTTGCTGCAGGATATGACGGAGAAGTCCATTGGAAGGACGAGTGTTCAGTTTCATGGGCTGGGTGGTTCCTTTCCACTAAGGAGGGGAAGTAAAAATGGGTTGTAAATGAAATACGAGAAGGGGGGTGGGCGGGGGCATAAAAATATAGGTGCGTATGTAGGGAGCGAGACTGACAGACAAATGTATTCCCTTCCATGGTAGTACAATTAATCTTCAGGTCTTCCTTAAGGAGACATGCTAAAGAAAAGCAGGCTAATTTGCTTTATTATCTGGTATCACCTCACTTAAAGGGTATTTTCAAAAAGTGCACAGCAGAAGCATGAGCTGATGCAACCACAACATCCAACTATACCACCAATTTAAGAGGGGCTGGATTTCCTTGCTGGGAATTGTCAAACGAGAGGAATCGCAAAGGCAGCAGTGGTGATAAAAAATAAAAAACGATGGAATTAAAAGGTTCCCTTCTCCCCATAACTTCAATCCTAAATATAAGCAACTGCTATTAAGCCTTTTTCTTTCATCCTCCTCCTGGATTTTGCACATCTAGGTCAGTCTTGCTTCTGTGCCTCATCTCCTCCTTTTTGAGGAAAGGAGATGATTCCAAGATCCCTCAAATTTGCTCCTCTGTTCATGTTTTAGATGCATCTTCCTCCAGGAAAGTCAACTGGCCTGTAGTCCAGCATTCAGCAGAGCACTGGCAAAAACAGATTATACTGACTGGATTCTCACTTTGTCAGTGCCCGCTTAACAGAGATACAATTGGACTGGCCAATATATACAAATCAATAAATAAGGCACAGAGCATTGTTTAATCTGGAGGCTCCCTCTTTATGACAGCATTCAAAGGAAATATAATAAACATTCACTGTCCAATATACAGTCTACATCTTCAAGCATATGATTGCTTTAATGTAGTTCATAAGGTCCCAAAGACCAGAGCTTTTGTGAAATAAGCAGTAGTTGTAAATTGGATGAATTTATCAAGTGCGTAGGCAGATGCTTTTGGAAAAAGTGGCATCAAAACAGTTTACAGATTAAGTCAAACTTTAATATTAATCTGTTTGCTGTGTTTCATGCCCTCCATCCCACCTTTTAAAGTAAGCACGAGGAAAACTGCAAAAGTTACTTATTTAAAAAAAGGTATTAAGCTAAATTTAATTCCAGTTTTTCCAGAATGGTCCTTTAGAGAAGAAAAGCTCTAAAACATAGCTTTAGAGAAGAGTAAGAAAATTTGTAATCCATGGATCACTGCCATAATACATAACAGATTCTTATGGGCTATTTAAGATGCCTTCAAGCCACATATACCCACACGCACACGTAAATCTATAGATGTGAAATCCTTGTGAAGTTTCTGAACAAAAAACAAGAAATGACACATGAGAGGGAATATTTTTTCCCCAGAGTTAACTCCACTATTTTAAACGTCAAAGTAACAATGCCAACTGCACATTTGGGACTAAGTCTGCAAACTTGTACTTTAGCAAAATTAAGCTACTCGTATAAAAGAAGAATATAAATTCACTCCAAGGCTAAATCCTTGAGTGCCAAGTTTTGGCCCAGAAAGGAAGGTTTAATAGAAGACTTATTAACTCCTGAATGAATGAAAATGCTGTTAATAGCAGTGCTGCTGTTTAGGTAAATACACACAATTCTGAGCATTAAAAAAAAAAAATCAGCACATTCTTGGATGTAATTTACTGCACATGAACTTGAAACCATTAGCCTGAATAAGACCAGCAAGATAGGCATCATGGCATAACAAAGGTAAATACATACCAACTGATGAATGCTATCAATGGCTCGGTTGTATTTGTCACAAAGCCTCTGCATGCTTTCAAAGCTGGGAAAAGGAAA